CAGACACACCCCACTGCCCCCCCCCCCATAAGAGACGCATCAGACAGTCCCCCACAGCAGACATACCTGACTGTCCCCCACAACAGACACATCAGACTGTCACCCACAACAGACTGTCCCCCACAACAGACTGTCCCCGAAAACAGACTGTCCCCCACACCAGACTGTCCCTCACAACAGATACATCACACTGTTCCCCACAACAGACACACCACACTTTTCCCCACAACAGACACAACACACTGTCTCCCACAACAGACACATCAGAAGTCCCTCACAACAGACACATCACACTGTCATTCACAACAGACACATCAGACTGTCCCTCACAACAGACACATCAGACTGTCCCTCACAACAGACACATCACACTGATCCCCACAACAGACACATCACACTGTCCCTCACAACAGACACATCAGATTGTCCCTCACAACAGACACATCACACTGTCCCCCTACAACAGACACATCACACTGTTCCCCACAACAGACACATCACACTGTTCCCCACAACAGACACATTACATAGTTCCCCACAACTGACACATCACACTGTTCCCCCACAACAGATACATCAGATTGTCCTTCACAACAGACACATCAGATTGTCTCTCACAACAGACTGTCCCCCACAACAGACAAATCATACTGTCCCCCTACAACAGACACATCACACTGTCCCTCACAACATACACATCACACTGTCCCCCTACAACAGACACATCACACTGTCCCCCACAACAGACACATCACACTGTCCCCCACAACAGACACATTACACTGTCCCCCTACAACAGACACATCACACGGTCCTTCACAACATACATATTAGACTGTCCCTCAAAAGAGACACATCAGACTGTCCCTCACAACAGACTGTCCCTACAACAGACACATCAGACTGTCCCTCACAACAGACTGTCCCTCACAACAGACACATCAGACTGTCCCTCACAACAGACACATTAGAGTGCTCCCCACAACAGACACATCAGACAGGTGAGAGGGGGGACAGGGGGAGAGCTAGACAGATGAGAGCTAGCCTGGCGGGAGATAGACAGGTGACAGGGAGGACAGGACGGGAGCTAGACAGGTGAGAGGGAGGACAGGGGAGAGCTAGACAGGTGAGAGGGAGGACATGGCGAGAGCTAGACAGGTGAGAGGGAGACTGGCGAGAACTAGACAGGTGAGAGGGAGGACATGGGGAGAACTAGACAGGTGAGAGGTAGCCTGGCGGGAGATAGACAGGTGAGAGGTAGCCTGGCAGGAGATAGACAGGTGAGAGGTAGCCTGGCGTGAGATAGACAGGTGAGAGGTAGCCTGGCGGGAGATAGACAGGTGAGATGGAGGACATGGCGAGAGCTAGACAGGTGAGAGGGAGACGCGAGAGCTAGACAGGTGAGAGGGAGACTGGTGAGAGCTACACAAGTGAGAGGGAGGACAGGGGTAGAAAGAGAAAGGCAGAGAGGAAGAGAGAAAGCAGAGTAGACAGAAAGAAGGGACCACCTGAAACATAACTCCCTGCTGAGTCTTGGAGATAGTGTTGTCAGTACTGGTACACTCACAGGGGGAGGGGGTCGTGTAAACGAGATGACATCAACAGATGAGGTTCTCGTGCAGGAAGAAGACAGTCAAATGTTTCATGCGGCAGGGAGAAGAAACCTTCACCCCGACGGAACGAGAGAAATGGGTGGTGTGTTTGTGTGAGAAAGAAGGCGAGACGACAGAAAACCTCCCTAGATGGGCGGATAGGAGAGTCCTAAAAGAGACAGAAAGAGAAAGACAGTACTGAAGGAGAAAGATATTTACTGGATAAAGACGGAGAGAAACGAGAGGTAAGCGGCAGGAGATAATTTTTCTTGTATTCGAAATGGCCGACAGCAGAAAACCTCTACAGAGCTGACCACCAACTGACTGACGTGCAACCCACTAAGATCGCACGAAAAGCGATAAACACCCGGTGACACAAAGTGCCACTAACCGAATGAGAATCACCTTAGCCGAGAAAACCAGTTCAACCCTGGAATTTTGACCATCAAAAGCAGATGCAATTAGTAGACTGAGATGATCATAGGAGAAAAACAAGGTAACTTTAGTCACATGATAGTTTTCTAGGCGACACGGAAGCCTTTTTAAAGTGTGTAATTTTTGTTAGTATTTTCATCATTATGTGTTGAATAATTGTACAATAATTAATGTATTTGAAAGAACATAAAATGAATGAACAAACATTCAGAAGCAGCAGAGGGGCAGAAAGGCGGGGAGGGGGGGGGGAGAAGGGGGAATCTTCTTAACCCCACTTGTACATTTGATAGGTAAATTTACACACCACTACACACTAGTTCGCTTCTGATTGGACGACCTACTGACCACCTCACCTCTGATAGGTCGGCCTCGAGTGGTCAGACTTTCATACAAGGTCACGGGGATATTCCGCACTAGCGCTGATACCGCTTGCTGTATATTTCAATACCAGAGCTTTTAACACTTCTTAAACAGATACTGGGTCTAAAACATAACCACCTATGTCACAGGTCGTCTTTTTCACGGAAATAAAAACGTAAACGCAGGACAACAACAAACTGCGACACCCATAACCTCGATCACGGTAGACTAGTCCAACCAACTTATCAATGAAATTGACCTACAACCGGTGGTGTGTAAATGGGGAGACCATCGTATAAATAACACATTTGCTATGTGAGGACTCTCAGCTCTCTAAATATGTTGGGGCATTGGGGAGAAGGGGGTGGGGGGGGGGGGCTGCCAGGGCGCCGAGCGTGCAGCACTGCTAACAGGATAAAGATATGCAATTTAAATCATCTTAATTATGGCCAAGGAAAGACAAACATGATCAATCAAGCGAAAACTTTCTATTTTAAAAAAAACTGGAAACAAGAAAGGATGGAGATAATCACAGAACAACTGGTCAGTTTGTTTTTCTTGTCAAGGGAAGGAAGTGAGTGAATGGAAGACATGAAATAATCAAGTCTCTCATCCATTATAAAACCTTGGTTGATAGAATGGAAGACATGAAATAATTAGGTCTGTCAACAATGATAAAACCTCGGAAGTCACAGCAACGAAGACATGAGGCCCCTGAGCAAATTAGTGTGCGAGGGCCCCTGCGACAGCTGCTTACTGGAATAAAATGTGAATGTCACCTGCCGTACATAGATTAGCAAGCGGCCCCCATGATGAAGGGGCCCCTTAGGGAGAAGTGCTCAGCCGGCCCCGATGTGCTCAGGCGGCTCTGAGTGAGAGAAGAGAACGTGGAAAGAGAATGTAACATTAATTAGCTGGGTCAAGCATGAAAGAGACATAAATGATATGTTTACAATCCATGCAGAGGTGACGCAGGGATGTGTGTGCTCTCTACTCTAGTGTCTACAACATGCATAGACAGAGTACTTTTTTTTTAAAAGCCAGCTTTAAAGCATTGGACCCAGAAAATCTAGGAAATTGGAAACTTTACTTTCCGAAGGAAGAATTAGATCCACAGCCAATAAACTAGATACTTTGAGCAGACAATAAACTAGATACTTTGTACAGACAATAAACTAGATACTTTGTACAGACAATAAACTAGATACTTTGTACAGACAATAAACTAGATACTTTGTACAGACAATAAACTAGATACTTTGTACAGACAATAAACTAGATACTTTGTGCAGACAATAAACTAGATACTTTGTGCAGACAATAAACTAGATACTTTGTGCAGACAATTAGCGCCTGTTCTACAATGAGCAGAGAATACTGCAAGAACATTTAAACAGGCTAAGTTCAATACGCAAAAGAAATAACATAGAAATACATTGTACTAAAAATGAAGTATTGCAGGTTAGCAGAATTCCTCATGTCGGATTCAATAGCACTTGTCTAAAGCAAACAAAGAATGTCAATATCTAGGAAGTATATTCTCGGAGGACGGGAGAATAGATCGGGAAACAGAAACAAGATGCCAACAAACCAGTGTACTTATATACCAAGACATCTAAACGTAAGTAGGAGCGATAAGAAAAAAAATTATTAACATCATATTCATATCAACACTGTGCTACCAGTGCCAAACTTGGACATTGTCAAAGGCTAACCTATGTAAAATAAACACATATGAAATGAGATGCCTGAGAAAACCAGCAAACAAAGTGAGAAATGACAGTATCACAACAGAAGATGCGATGGTTTGTTTATTAGTGAGAAAGCAGCCAGAACAAATACCAACGCAGGCGCTACACATGAAAAGATCTGATGAAAGCAAGAAGCCGCCCTAGAAGAATATGTAATGATGACATTAAAGAGTTTCTACGTCGACATGGAATAACAAAGGCCATTGCTGCCCATCAAGAAATGGATCGCAAACTGTTCCTCCCCAAGGCGCCTAACGACAGAAGGGGATATTGATGATGTTGTATATAAGATTTGATTGATTTGATTTGATCTAATTTGATTCAAGAACCGACATCACAGCACTGGCGGCATTCCCATAAGCGCTGCGTCCCCATCTTCAGCAGTTTTCGAAGAGTTCCGATACTAATGGTGCCAGTAGCATTCTGATTAAACGTTCGTCTTATCAGTCCTCTGAGCCTCGAGCATCTGCCGGAACCTCTCGTCACTCCCCGCTGCATCAATCTCACCAGACTGTGGTTTACAAGAGACAACCAGTAAGAAAAGGAAGCAATGAATATAATCAGGCTGCTCGTGGACGAACATCGAGAGGAATAAAGATAGAAGAATCAACTAAACTGTGCCCTTCCTATCTGCCTTTTTAGTGTTATAACTATATTTTTGAAAACCAGTTGGAAATCGGTCACTGCTTTCCTTCAGACTGCAACCTACATGTTTACCATACTCGTGTCTCACCCCACTTGACCACTGTCTTCCATTGAATCCCCTCAGAAGAGAGAGAGAGAGAGAGAGAGAGAGAGAGAGAGAGAGAGAGAGAGAGAGAGAGAGAGAGAGAGAGCAAGAAAACACTATGGATCCACTCACCTGCTCTACGATAAATATCCTAAAGTGGATCTGCTGCCGCTTGAGCAAGGGGATCAGGTAGTGCAGCAGGACTTTGAGGTGACTGAAGCGGTCCCTGTAGGGAATGATGACAGCAACGCGGTGCCGAGATATGCAGGATGGTGGTCGCCACTCCCCGCCTTCTGTGACGTCGCTGTTGTTGCTGATGATGTCGTTGATGTCTAAGGTGATGTTGAGGTTGACATCTGTGGTGTTTCCCACTGGAAGTAGATTGTGTGGCGTGTCAATCATACAGTGAATTATTGTGTGGTGTGTGAATAACGGGGAATAGTGAGTTGCGTGGTTTGTGAATAACGGGGAATAGTGAGTTGCGTGGTTTGTGAATAATAGAGGGAATTATGCCATGTTCAATAAACAAAAAAAATGACACAGTTGTGTCATGTGGAGATGTTGATAACAATAGAGACAGTTATGTAATGTGGGTATAATAAAGAAAAGAGAATGTTGTGTGATATGGAAATAATACAGAAAAGAGACAGTTGTATGATGTGGGAATAATACAGAAAAGAGACTGTTGTGTGATGTAGAAATAATAAAGAAAAGTGTTGTGTCATGTGAGAATAATGAAGAAAAAACACTTTTGTGTCATGTTGGAATAATAAATAAAAGAGACTGCGGTGTCATGTTGGAATAATAAGTAAAAGAGACTGCGGTGTGATGGGGGAATAATAAATAAAAGAGACTGCGGTGTGATGGGGGAATAATAAATAAAAGAGACTGCGGTGTGATGGGGGTATACTGCGGTGTGATGGGGGAATAATAAGTAAAAGAGACTGCGGTGTGATGGGGGAATAATAAATAAAAGAGACTGCGGTGTGATGGGGGAATAATAAGTAAAAGAGGCTGTTGTGTGATGTGGGAATAATAAAACATTGAGACAAATGTGTGTTATTGGAATAATACCTCAAGCAGAATAAGCTGATTTGTGTAAGAAGAATAGGGAATACAGTCAACAGCGTGAACGAACGAAGGAACAGACGAACGAGCTAACAAACGAGATAACTAACGAACGACGAAACCTTACTTTCCAAGGAATGAGAACTGGGCACGCAAGCCCGTCTTATGTTCTGCCCTTTTGACATCATATCTTACATACATTATTCAAATCACATATCAGTTGGCATACAATAATAAATATCTACATCTAATTCTTCCTGTGATGTGCTCTCATTATACCGCCATTTCTAAATACTAATAATACCAAACATAATAAGTGTAATAAACCTAGGGGGGGGGGGGGGAGTGGGGGCGCTGATATGTGTAAACTATCATCTTTTACGGGGCATATAGTCTGTGCTGAGACCATATTTAAACAGATTCCAAATGTATTGTAGGGGTTATTATTCATATTTGTGATTGGCTGTGGAAGTTGATTTGACAAATGAGCTGCTGAGAACCCAGAAATGGGGGTGAAAGAGAGGGGGCGCTAATCTGTAACCAGACAGATCCTAAATGACAAGTCTAGCAGCTGATCACAGTCTCCATCTCTCCTAAAATATACTCAGCCACTCAGTTACGAATTCAGCCGCCACTCCTACCATCAAATCATTTTCACACGCAACTTTTCCAACCATACAACCCAATATTCTAGCCATCCAAGCCAAATCAAACCAACCAACTCACTTGTCCAACCATTCAACACACTTTTCCAACTACCCAATCCATTGTTCCCAAAAAAATATGCAACCCACTTTTGCACCCATCGAACCCACTGTTAAAAATTATTTAAGCCATTATCCCAATCACTCATCCCGCTTTTGCACCCATCGAACCCACTGTTCCAATTATTTAAGCCATTGTGCCAATCACCATCCCACTTTTGCACCCATCGAACCCACTGTTCCAATTATTTAAGCCATTGTACCAATCACCATCCCACTTTTGCACCCATCGAACTCACTGTTCCAATTATTTAAGCCATTGTACCAATCACCATCCCACTTTTGCACCCATCGAACCCACTTTTCCAATTATTTAAGCCATTGTCCCAATCACTCATCCCACTTTTGCACTAATCGAACCCACTGCTCCAATTATTTAAGCCATTGTTCCAATCACTCATCCCGCTTTTGCACCCATCGAACCCACTGCTCCAATTATTTAAGCCATTGTACCAATCGCCATCCCACTTTTGCACCCATCGAACCCACTGTCCCAATCACTCATCCCACTTTTGCATTTATTTCAACATCCAATGTGACCAGCCAGCGCTATGTGTAACGGTAACAGAGTTTAACACTGTAACTGGTGGTTTCTATCGCTGTTATACTGTCATGTCACTGTCTGACACAGATGTCCATCGCTGTCACACTGACATGTCACTGACTGACACAGATGTCCATTGTGTCACACTGACATGCCACTGACTGACACATATGTCCATCGCTCTCAAACTGCAAATGACTATAACTAACAACCTAATGTAGCTTATGCAGCTCTCTTGTGCGGTCACTGACAGTAACCTTTTATCTCGTGTTGTCAGTCTCCTTGTATTTTGACATGAAATCGCCAATTAGCAAAAGCTTTATTGCATTATTCAGCTTAGCAGCATTCTTGGTTCCCCCTCCACATTTCTTTCACCCACCGGCACAAGACTGGTCCAGCTTCGAGATCAAGCGGATCCCTGTAGAGACAGCCAAGATAAGATTGGTCTAGCGCCGAGACCAAGTTAACAGAGATCACACAACAAAAACCATCAGATAGAGACAGCCAAGACAAGACTGGTCCAGCGCCGAGACCAAGTTAACAGAGATCACACAACAAAAACCATCAGATAAGAGACAGCCTAGATAAGATTGGTCTAGCGCCGAGACCAAATTAACAGAGATCACACAACAAAAACCATCAGATAAGAGACAGCCAAGACAAGACTGGTCCAGCGCCGAGACCAAGTTAACAGAGATCACACAACAAAATCCATCAGATAAGAGACAGCCAAGACAAGACTGGTCCAGCGCCGAGACCAAGTTAACAGAGATCACACAACAAAATCCATCAGATAAGAGACAGCCTAGATAAGATTGGTCTAGCGCCGAGACCAAGTTAACAGAGATCACACAACAAAAACCATCAGATAAGAGACAGTCTAGACAACAAGATGAGAACAAGGCAAGCAACAAATTTCTCCTGTAGAAGATGTACCCAGTGACAAAGCATGAGCACAAGATTTCAGCCAGCGTGGGGGTTGAGTATTTCTTCCATGGATCGATGCAGAACCGCCACAAAAACACGGGGCCCCAGAGACCAAGGCATCCGCGGGATTGTGTGTGGGTGCGTGTGTGTGTGGGTGCGTGTGTGTGGGTGCGTGCGTGTGTGTGTGGTTGCGCGCGCTATGGCTGTTCAAGTTGTCCTCGTTTGACAGCACGAGAGATCGATATAGGCTTGGTCAGTTTCTGAACAGAGTGGATGCCTGCCTGTCTGCCTGTCATACTTTCGTCCTATGGTTTATTCCTTTCTTTCTCTATTTCTTACATTCTTTTCTTTATGGTTTACATCCTCTCTGCCGTTCTTTCTTTGTTTCTTACCTTTCTTTCTATCTTTCCTAATAGCCGTCTTTCTTCCTTCCTCTTTTCTTTATTTCTTGTTCTTTTTATCGTTCGTTTTTTATCTCATTTGCTTTCCTTCCTTCTTTATGTCTTTTCTACACCCGTGACTTCCTTCCTGCTTAATGTCAGAGAAAGATAACAAAGGAAACTCAACCACAAGATTCGTCTAACGGGAATCAATCAACCAGGAGCCGTCTTCACAAGCAAGGTTGGCTCCAACATATCTGTCACACGGAGCTAATCACGTATTTCTGTTGACAAGTCAGTATTTACTGAGCGATGTTAATATTTTATGTTAACGGAATTTACTTCTTAGAACTGTTACTACGTGGATTCCAGAGGACCCGTTTTAGGTTGGGAGTCACGAGGATTGTTACGACATGGATTCGGACTCGTGTTTGCCAGGCTGTTAGGCCAGTCAGCTAGTCACTACGCCACGCAGATACAACAGTGGTAGACGAGCTAACTAGTCGCAACGCCACGCAGATACAACAGTGGTAGACGAGCTAACTAGTCGCAACGACACGCAGATACAACAGTGGTAGACGAGCTAACTAGTCGCAACGCCACGCAGATACAACAGTTGTAGACGAGCTTACTAGTCGCAACGCCACGCAGAAACAACAGTGGTAGACAAGCTAACTAGTCGCAACGCCACGCAGATACAACAGTGGTAGACAAGCGCTAGTCGCAACGCAGATACAACAGTGGTAGACGAGCTAACTAGTCGCAACGCCACGCAGATATAACAGTGTTAGACGAGCTAACTAGTCGCAACGCCACGCAGATATAACAGTGGTAGACCAGTTAACTAGTTGCAACGCTACGCAGATATAACAGTGGTAGACGAGCTAACTAGTCGCAACGCCACGCAGATACAACAGTGGTAGACGAGCTAACTAGTCGCAACGCCACGCAGATATAACAGTTATTGATATATATATATATATATATATATATATATATATATATATATATATATATATATATATATATATATAAATTAATAAAACAAAGACAACAACAGGAAAAACTCTCCAAAATTATTAAAAGACAAACAGTAAACAGACTCTTATCACATTAACAACAAACAAAACAGACAACAGAAACGACAGAAACGACCGAAGCGACAGAAACGACAGAAGCGACGAACACAAATATAGATATATAAAATACACAGAAAACAAACTGAATCAGCAAAAAGACAATGGATAGCGCAAACAAACAGCAAACATAAACTAGATGTTTATTAAGCAAGGAATGGACACTAACAATTAGAAAAACGCAAACAGAAAAATAAATGAATGTCACACAAATGAAAACATAAATCTGACTCCTCAAAAACAACGAACACAGACTGAAGATCATACAGATAGCAGACATGGATATACCACACTACAGTATGGATGTATAAAGACAATGATCCATGTATGGGGACACAGAAAAAGTGTTGCCTGTCGTAAAATCAGAAAGCCCAATCGGAAACATGGAAACTGATAATATTTGCTGCGGTTGAGGGATCAATAACCTGCTTGATATCGCCCCACCGCGCTGATTCGTCCAGGTGTGAGATCAATGAGCCCAATCACTCTGGCACCGACCTCATCGACGATTAGAGAGTAACATTAGTGAGCACCAGAAACGCATGACCAGTGATTTAGTCACTGGATCTAAGAGACATGTATTCGAGTAGCTAGATACAGACTTAGCACTGACTGACACTGACTGAAAACTCTAGCCACTGAGACAGACTTTCTTGAGAAAACATTCCACTACCGAGACAGACTTTTCTGGGAAAACATTCCACTACTGAGACAGACTTTTCTGAGAAAACATTCCACTACTGAGACAAACTTTTCTGAGAAAACATTTCACTACCGAGACAGACTTTTTTGTGAAAACGTTTAACCACTGGGACATACTTTCTAGGGGAAAAAATTCCACTACTGAGACAGACTTTTTTTGGAAAAACATTCCATCACTGAAAGACATTTTCTGGGAAAACATTCCACTACTGAGACAGACTTTTCTGGGAAAACATTCCACTACTGAGACAGACTTTTCTGGGAAAACATTCCACTACTGAAACAGACTTTTCTGGGAAAACATTCCACTACTGAGACAGACTTTTCTGGAAAAACATTCCACTACTGAGACAGACTTTTCTGGGAAAACATTCCACTACTGAGACAGACTTTTCTGGGAAAACATTCCACTACTGAGACAGACTTTTCTGGGAAAACATTCCACTACTGAGACAGACTTTTCTGGGAAAACATTCCACTACTGAGACAGACTTTTCTGGGAAAACATTCCACTACTGAGACAGACTTTTCTGGGAAAACATTCCACTGCTGA